TTTTTTTTTTTTTGTAGAGACAGAGTCTTACTTTATCACCCTCAGTAGAGTGCCATGACATCACACAGCTCACAGCAACCTCCTCCTGGGCTCAGGTGATTCTCTTGCCTTAGCCTCTGGAGTAGCTGGGATTACAGGCGCCCACCACAGTGGTTGGCTATTTTTTTGTTCCAGTATGGCCGAGGCTGGGTTTGAACCCGCCACCCTCGGTATATGGGGCTGGCCCCCTACCAACTGAGCCACAGGCGCCACCCCATTTGCTAACTTTTAATTTTATGTATGTATGTATGTATTTATCTATTTGAGACATAGTCTCACTCTGTTGCCTGGGTAGAGTGCCGTGGCATAACAGCTCATAGCAACTTCATACTCCTGGGCTTAAGGATCCTCTTGCCTCAGCCTCCTGAGTAGCTGGGACTGTAGGCACATGCCATAATGCCTGTCTAGTTTTTCTATTTTTAGTAGAGACAGGGTCTCACTCTTGCTCAGCCTGGTCTTAAACTCCTGAGCTCATGCAATCCACCTTCTTTCCCTCACCTTGCCACAATTGTCCAGCTTATTTTTCTTTTTTAACAGAGATAGGGTCTTAACTCTTGCTCAGGCTGGTCTCGACTCTGAGTTCAAGGGATCCTCCCACCTCAGCCTTTCAGAACACTGGGATCACAGGTGCGAGCCGCCGTGTCCAGTACCTTTGTTTTGTTTTATTGTTTTTTCTTTTTTTTTTTTTTTTTTGCATGTGGGTTATTGGATTTTTCTCACTTGCTGTGAGTATAAACCATTTTACAACCTTTTTTTTTTTTTGAGACACTGTGTCAACCTCAGTAGAGTGCTATGGCATCACAGCTCACAGCAACCTCTAACTCTTGGGGTTAAGTGATTTTCTTGCCTCAGCTTCCCAGTTAGCTTGGAATAAAAGCACCTGCCACAATGCCTGCCTATTTTTTTGTTGTAGTTGTCGTTGTTTAGCAGGCCCTGGTTGGGTTAGAACTGGCCAGCCTTGGTGTATGTGGCCTGCGCCCTAACCACTGAGCTATGGATGCCAAGCCCAGTACCCTTTTTTGTTTCTGATTGAGCTTATTAGAGATTTTTATATTTCTGATCAATTATTCTAATTAAATCAAGTTTTGTTGATTTTCTTTATCTTTTCTTTCTTTCTTTTTTTTAAGAGACAGAGTCTCACATTATTGCCCTTGGCAGAGTGTTGTGGCGTCACAGCTCAGAGCAACCTCCAACTCCTGAGCTTAGGTGATTCTCTTGCCTCAGCCAATAGCTGGGACTACAGGCACCTACCACAATGCCCGGCTATTTTTGTCGTTATTGTTGTTGCAGTTTGGCAGGGGCCGGGTTCGAACCTGCCACCCTCGGTATATGGGACTGGTGCCTTACCCATTGAGCCACAGGTGCCACCCTATATCTTTTCAAAGAACCAGTTTTGTGTTTTTATTTATTTTCAAGATGATTGTTTTCTTCTTGATTTCATTTAATTCTGATCTTATTTTATTTCTTCTCTTCTGCTAAATTTGGGATTAGATTGCTCTTCCTTTTCCAATTCCTTGAGATGATTCATTAGGTTGTTGCTTTGCACTCTGTGTTTTGGATATGGGTATTTAATGTGATAAATTTCCATCTGAGGTCTGCTTTTGCAGTATCCCACAGGTTTTTTTTTTTTTTTTTTGTAGAGACAGAGTCTCACTTTTTCGCCCTCAGTAGAGTGCCGTGGCATCACAGCTCACAGCAACCTCCAACTCCTGGGCTTAGGCGATTCTTTTGCCTCAGCCTCCCAAGTAGCTGGGACTACAGGCGCCTGCCACAACCCCCGGCTATTTTTTTGTTGCAGTTTGGCTGGGGCCAGGTTTGAACCCTTGGTATATGGGGCCGGCACCCTACTCACTGAGCCACAGGTGCCGCCCTACCCCACAGGTTTTGATTGCTTGTGGTTTTGTTGTCATTTTGTTTGAGGAATTTGATGATTGCCTTCTTTATCTCCTCTTTGACCCAACTGTCATTCAGCATAAGGTGGTTTAGTTTCCATGACTTTGTATGGGGATGAAGATATTTGTTGGAGTTCAGTTCTACCTTTATTCCGTTATGATCCAAAAAGATACAAGATATAATTTCTATTCTTTTAAAATTTTTATTTTTTTAAAAAAAAACAAAGGGACCTCCTTGCTAGTGGAGCTTCCCTTTTCTTTTCTTTTTTTTTTTCTCTTTGAGACAGAGTTTCACTGTGTTGCCCTCGGTAGAGTGCTGTGGCATCACAGCTCACAGCAACCTCAAACTCTTGGGCTTAAGCAGTTCTCTTGCCTTAGCCTTCTAAGTAGCTGGGACTATAGGCACCCACCACAAGGCCCAGCTGTTTTTTGGTTGCAGTTGTAATTGTTCTTTAGCAGGTCCTGGCCGGGTTTGAACCCACCAGCCTCAGTGTATGTGGCTGACATCTTACTCACTGAGCTATGGGCGCCGAGCCAGAGCTTCCTTTTTCTTATTTATTTATTTGTTTTTTGAGACAGAGTCTCAAGCTATTGCCCTGGGTAGGGCAATAGCTTTGGCATCACAGCTCACAGCAACCTCAAACTCTTGGGCTTAAGCGATTCTCTTGCCTCAACCTCCCAAGTAGCTGGAACTAAAGGTGCCTGTCACAATGCTTAGCTGTTTTTTTTTGCAGTTCTTTGTTGTTTTAACTGGCCTGGGCCAGGTTCAAACCTGCTAGCCTCAGTGTATGTGGCTGGCACCCTAACCACAAAGCTGCGGGCACCACCTCTTTTAAATTTGTTTTAAGACTCCATTTCTACTAAACACACAAAGCTTTGGTTTATATGCTAGGATATGATCAATTTTGGAAAATTATCCATGAGTTGACGGGAAGAATGTATGTTCAGTATTATTGAGGTGGTATGTTCTGTATATATTTGTTAAGTCCATTTGTTCTAGAATTGTGTTTAGGTTCATTGTTTCTTTGTTTAGTTTTTGTTTGGGGAATCTGTCCTTTTCTGTCAGTGGGGCATTGAAGTTCCCAGCTATTATGGTGTTGTTGGATATCATATTGTTCAGAC